CAGCAATCACATCAATTCTGAACATTTTGGCTCACTTGCAAATGTCACTACAATGGCTATTACACCTTGATGCTTTCTTGTATTGTACAAGGCCCAGAGTATTTCTTTACACAGAATTTTGGGGACCACTAGCTGTAGCACTGTCAGAGCACCACGCCTCACAGGCTGGTGACAACAGTACAACATACCTTCTTGCATTTGTAGCTACACATATAGATGACATAGGGTATGTGCATTTGTGCTACACTCCTTTAGGTTATGTTAGGCTTGATATTGCTGGACAAAAAGAAGAACCCACAATAGGTCGTGTTCATTCAGTTGCATATTCTGGAACTCCTGAAATGTTAACTTTGACATCCAAGCATCCATGAAGTTGTCTACTTCATGTTTGGCTTTCAATTCTCACATAGTCTCCAGAATCAGGACAATCCACGAACAGGCAAAATCTTATTGTGTGATGAGATGTTTTGTCTGGATTTCCATGTTGTGGGCCTGAATGATGAATTGTGACAAAGTGATAGTCTTGAAACTTTGTTATCTAACGTTCACTAACCATTTCTGCAAAGCATAATCCATGTGGATAGTAAACCTCCTACAATACAAGTAGTTACAAAAGTTCTTTATAAAGTGAGAAGCTCTTTCTTTGTTGTTGTATAAAATCTACATTTGAGAGCATTTAAGTTATGATTGGCTTATGCGATTACACGTTTCACTCTGTCCTGCAACATTAATAGCACAACTCTGATTCCATTGGCACTGATGATAGTGACCAGGAGAAACTCACAGCCCTAGACCAAGCTTCGGGGATTGAAATGCATTTTCACATTATTTTATCCACGCAAAACGCACTTTATCTTCCGTAAGAGCCGACAATGTTGCTACTATTTTCGAGAAGTTGGCCACAAATCAGTGGTTTAATTCAAAACCAAGAAAACTGTAGACTTCTTAGTTCGTCACATGTCAAGGCTTTCTTAGCTGGATGTACCAAGACTCCATCTCTTCTAACAATGTGATTAAGAAACTTCAGTTCACAAGAGAGAAAATTTCCCTGGTTTCAGTTTCAAGCCTGTCTTTCAAATGCATTGGAATACTATTATCAATTTCTCAGATACTGACTCGAAAGTGCAGACAAACACCAAAACATCACCAACATAGCCCAGGAATCTCTTTCATTGCAATTCCTTGAGTGCAAGTTTCATTAGGTGCTCGAAAGTAGATGGTATATTACAAAGACCAAAACGCCTGATGCAGAATTCATATAGATCATCTCTCATGCTGAAAACAGTTTTTGCCCTGTTTTTGTCATTCCACTCGACTTTCAAGTAGCTGGATGCCATATAAATTGTGTTAAACTAATAAAAACCTTACAATACATGCAGACGTTCATCCATCCATGATAAAGGGAAGATGTCAATGTGAGTTACCAAGTTCAGCCATTGGAAGTCCACGCAGAAGCTTGGCATGCTTCCCTTCTTCCTGACAATCACCACTGGGGATGACCAAGCACTTTCTGTCTTGCATCATCTCGAGTATTTCAGCCCTTATGTCCTTCCTGGTGCTCCAAGAAAATCAGTGAGGCGTTTTATTTATCAGATGTATGTCACCCATCTCTATATGATGTCGAGTGTCCTGCATCATCCAGAGTATTTCAGCTCTCATGACCTCCCCGGTGTTCCAAGAAAATCAGTGAGGCATTTTATTTATCAGATGTATGTTTCTATATGGTATCGAGTGACCTTGTTTGACCTAAATGGCCATTTGTTCCCATAAACACATCAGCATATTCATCCAAAAAGTCATTGTTAGTATAATCATTAATCATTGTCCTCAGGTGTGTCAGTAGCCTTGTATTTATTCTTGGTCACAGTGCAATGGATGCACGATGCAACTATAATGCTACCATTAGCATTGGTTACCTCCACTTCATTCACTGTACCTGTGACTGTTCCAGCACCCAGCTGGAACACCGATCATCCATAATTACAAAGCAGCACTGTGATGTCATCCATTGTTGGGTGGATCATTGCTTGATATAATCGTCTTCCTAGACAGGAAACTGCTTATTTTATGCATGGCTTTTATAACGGCATTATACGGCACTGACACATTAGATCTTGTCAGGATTAAACCATGGAACACCACTTATGTTCATGGAAGTACTATTATTATCTTCACTAAATACAATTGTGTAGTCTACTGTTCCTGGGCTCAATCTGGATGGCATTGAATGACTTTCCTATGAAACATTAGCTCACTGGTTGCACAGGCAAAACTGACTGATAAATCCTGTGATATGTCCATCCTGAGGATACATATTACAGACCCAAGATTGGAAACAACCACTTTCTTTCTAGGGCAACACATCCTAGATTAAGCCAGAGATTCATTTCTCTTCTAATGTCTAGTCTATTGCCATTTATTAGAATAAAGTCGATATTCATTGGCCATAGTGGTGGTCTCACTTGAAGGGCTTGAAAGACTGCAAGGTCCACCTGGGTTCTTGCTGCATCCTGTATTAACCAAAAACTCAACTTCTTGCTTTTGCATCTTTATTGGCGTATAATAAATTTCACCTAGCCCTGACAGAGCTGAGCTGATCACTAAATTCTTTAGTAAAAGCTGTCTTTCATGCTCCACCAAGCTAGTGGCCAAATCTGATCTGGTCTCCATCTGTCTTCCAGAGCATTTGTCACATAATCAACAATGCGTTCCTGGTTATCCCAGACTTGCTGATCCAATGACCAGTATTGATACTCTTGTCTACTTTGTTGCTTGGCAAAATGCTGACATTGTGGGTTGATGGGGAGCTGCTGAACCATTGGCCAGATCCAATAGTTTTGACGTCTTTGCTGTGCTGCAAAGTCTGGGAAGTTCCTTTGCCAGTGCCCCACAAGTCCACAAGCGAAACAGTCACTTCATTCTTTTCATTCTAGGCAATGTTCGAGCTAATAGATTGGCTATAGCTGCAGTAAGTATCCCATGGTCAGACCTTGCTATGGCATGTACCCTTATGATAGCACATAACCCATGGGCAGACCTTGCTGTGGCATATATCTAGTGGACGGACCTTGTTATACTGTGTGTCTTATGGGAATACCTACATAGCCCTGTCCATACATTGGAGACCAGAGTGATTGCCTCAGATTTTTATCCTGTGGAAGTGATTTGTTGTTAACCCTCTGACTGGGTTTAATCCACCCTGATGGATATACCTGGTTGAGCAGCCACTACAGTTACAACTACAGGCTTCTTTCTTTCTGAAAACCAGTTAGAAGTGACCTCTCAAAGTGTGTTATGATGGAATTGACTTCTGTGAGAGTAATATTACCCCTAACCCTCCAGATACTGTCGCACAAGCTCATTGGGAAGTCTATTAATGAACTTGTGATCAGGATATCCTCCTGATCTTCCGAGGCCACTGTCTTCCTGAGTCAGTGGCTGCAGTCTGACCAATGTCTAAATAGACTAAACACAAATTATCTATGCCCAAACTTCCTCTGAGCTTCGCTAAAATGTCCCCACTTTAGTAGATTACTACTCCTTCTGGTTTACAGCTTTCTATTTACCCCCACTCCCATTCAACATGTACACTTTTTTTTTCTTGTTGTTGTTTTGGGAATATCATATATTTTTCTAGTAGATACGATCAGTAAGTTACAAAAGTTCTTATTTCATAAATTTCTTTCTTCTTTCAGGCAATATATTGCAACATTTTGAAATATGCCTCTGTGGCTATTAATCAAATTTTTCATGTGTTTAACTTCTTGTATATCCACCTTTAAGAACGCCATTTTAGTTTTTCTTTAACTATTAAACAGGGTCTGTGGTTAGGGCACTCGATTTGAAATCTGCGGGTCGCGGGTTTGAATCCCGTCACCAAACACGCTCACCGTTTCAACTATTGGAGCGTTTTAATGTGACAGTCAGTCCTACTATTCGTTAGTAAAGAGTAGCACAAAAGTTGGCGGTGGGTGGTGTTGACTAGTTGCTTTCTCTCTAGTCCACTACTTCAAAATTAGGGAGAACTATCGCAGATAGCGCCAGAGTAGCTTTGCGCAAAATTCAACAAACATTATCTCATAAACTCAACGAAATTTTCAAAATATTTTTATCAAAGTAAATTTCAGTTTCGATTCTTCAAGTATGTAATTTTGTTTTATGGTTTATAATGTTTTCGTTCATTAGTTGATTAAACATGAAAGTTGCCAAGACAATTTTTATTCTTTATATAAAGGTGCGCATGTTGACCTTGTGGATTTTGGAGCTGGCGAACAGGATTCAACTGTGTGCGATACCACAACATATTCCCCACACTTGAAAAGATATGTGCGCGTTATATGAATGACAGTTAATCTCATAGTGTGAATGGTGGGCGGTAGGGCACTTTTTGAATGGTTAAATTTCCTTTGGTCAGTAGTTTAAAATTAGGAACAGTAACAGATAGACTATTGTGTAAAAGTTTAGTAGTTACTAGCCTATCTTTCAAATATATTTCACGTTATTTATTTATTTGTCTTCTTTTTTTTTCTAGTTTCAAGAGAAAAGTAATACAGTTGGAAATGTTAAGAAGCGATTAAATTTAATTATAAAGGAAGTATTTTTCAGCATTTTATAAATTATTTCCATGTATATAGCCCCCCATTGGTACAGCGGTATGTCTGCAGACTTACAACGCTAGAATCCGGGTTTCGATACCCGTGGTAGACAGAGCACAGATAGCCCATTGTTTAGCGTTGTGCTTAATTTCAAACAAAAAAATCCATGTACATAAATGTACTCACCAGTACGTTTTGCTTTGTTTTTTTAAAAAAGTATAGTGGGATTGTGGGTATTTTCTCAATTTCGAGCAAATGTTACCCTTATCGTTGTCATGGTTTCGACAACGAAACACTAATGTTTGAAGCTACACTTGAAATCGAAACAATGAAGGCTTTTGTGTGTCATTTATCCGTATATTATTACTAAAGCTTAGTACAGACTAAGTTCAAAGTTGACGAAAGAATAGGATTATGAATATTTCTTGTTCATGTTAAATTTTAGATATTAATTAAACAAAGCAGAGCAGTAATACTAATAGTTTATTTGTTTAACTTCACATGAAAAACAGCGAAAAGTTTTATTTGAACGTTCACGTAGACTGTAGACTGTAGTAGCGTAAACGGTATAGGTACAGGTTCTGCTGACTAATATTAGGCCTAAGTTAGTCTTATAAATTGTAAGCCAGTGGCGGTGCATGCTTTGAAGTCATGGATTTTAAATCAAGGTAGGCCTAACTTTAAGCTAATAAAGATATGTTATCTCTTAGGTAGAACATTTCTATTTTTAGCTGACTATAGAAATCAATATTTTTAACAGCTGCTTAATTGTCTAACTTCTAAGTGACACTGACAATATGATTGAGCTAGCACTAGCAGTTTCAAATCGTCAAGCGAAAAAAAATCATTTGTTTTTAATTCTGAAGGTCTACTCTTGGCTGTTCAGTATTACTATTATTAGCAGATAGTGTTATAAAAATTGGTACAAAATTGTAATATGAACTATACATCTGTTATTCTGTTTGTTCATTAATCCGTGGTATGTGGATCAACTTGTTCTGTAAAAGGTTGGTATTTAACAATATTTAGCTCATTTTTATTAAAGATGAACAATTTATTGTGATCGTTTTATTTACAAATGATTTATTCAGTTATTGAAATATTAGTTCTTAATAAATTTGTCAAAATAATCTACTCTTTTTTTTTTCGTAAGATGCATGAGTCAACACGATGTCTTTTTTTAAGTTTTGTATTTAGACAGTAATAACAGTAAAATGTTCTCAACTTTTAATTATAATATTATAATACAACAGAAATGTGAGGACATCTAGGATATGTGGTGCACATGAAAATTAGGCAAGTGAAAATGATATCTAATGCCATACAGAATAACCAGGGCCAGATTAAGGCGGGGGCTGGTAGAGCTGCAGCTCCAGGCCCACCGCGCTCAAAAAAAAAGACGTATTAGAAAAAATATGTACTCCCGCATCAACAATGGGTTCAGCGCTTTAAAAAAAATCTGAAAACACTAGTCACCTATGATAGGCCTAGATTTATTATAGAAAAAACGTTACTGAGACATATAGACAATTTCAGGTTATCCCTTAAATAGAATATTATCGAGCGACTAGAACTTCATGTGACACAAAAATGATGAAATCTGTCTAGCATGCGAGATCTACGTCACGTCTTTGAACATGTGTCTGTCAGTAGTGGGTACAGGAGTGTGGTTCCAGGAGTTAGAACCCCGCCCTTCTCGATGCACAATGCCCTCAATATGCAACATATTTTTAATTGTTTTTGGATATTCTAAAATCTAAGAAAATAATCATTATAAAAATTTTAAAACAATTCGTTATATAAATTTATTACGCCATTTTCCCTTTGCGAGTCCCCCAGTGGCACAGCGGCATGTCTGCGGACTTACAACGCTAGAAATCGGGCTTTGATACCTGTGGTGGTCAGAGTACAGATAGCCCTTTGTGTAACTTCGTGCTTTACTACAAACAAACCCTTTGCGAGGAAATTCTACACCTAAAGGAGACTTAAATTGACTCTACAGAGTTACTGCGAGCTATTAATCCCCATTTCCCAAAGGTGTTAGGAAATTTTTTCGCTTATGTCATGCGCTCTTTTTCGTATGACAACATTTTTAAATTGGCGGGAAACCAGAAACTGTTACAATGTTGAATGCACTTGTGAACAAGCAGTAGTTGTAACCCAGTGTTACAACTACCAACGTTACGGACATGTGGCAGCCGCATGTAAAGCGCTCCTACGCTGTGTAGGGTGTGGGGGAGAACATAGAAACACAAACTACCCACGTGAGAATCCACAACCACATTGCCGTAACTGCTAACAGCAACACACGGCAAACTACAAAGGATGTTTAAAATACAAGAATATTAAAACACGCATAATCACAATACAAACACACAAGTACCACAACAGGAAGCAAACAGAACACACACACAAAAAACACCATAACTACAACACCAAAACCCCACGAGACAAGTGCCACAAACCAGCAATCTACTACACATATTCGCACAGGCAGTCAAAACACACCTAAACAAACGAAGAACACACAACTCACAAACGCCCAATTACAACAAAACAGAAGTAGCCAAAAACATATTCTACGAGTTCCTAGCACAATACAGAAACCCCCAAAACCAAGATAACAGTATTACACTTATCATTAAAATAGCTATTGAACACCTAACATCAATACTTCCATAAATTATACAACTATTCGTATTACCACAAACAATACAGTACACAAATACACTACAGACATAAGTCCAAAATCACACATAACCAGATAACATAATATGAACATAGAAAAGGAAAGTTGTAAACAGAAATAAATTAACAACCAAACCAGCTTACTCCAAAAAAAAAAAAAAATCCTAAAGAATACAAATAACAATAGTACAGGAGGGAGGAAGAGGTCTATTAAGAACCTGACCCTCCCAGGTCGTCAAAAGACTTAAGTTCCGATGACTGATACAGAGTCTATTTTGAAAAATGCCTGTCCATTATTTTTTCATTTGTCCATTAATATTATAAGTATGAGAACAAGTCATTTACTGCTAGCAGGTAAACTTGTCACTTTACAAAGTGAAATTTAGTATACTAATGTTACCTACATGGTTATGGATTGGGAATGGGTCAGATATTGTACTCGTGCTCCGGGTACAAGCCACGACCTTTATGTAGTAATAAACATAGTATTTTACCGTACTATAATATTAACAACCGTAAAGGAAGGAGGAAGAAGTACTGAACGTACCTAATTAATAGACTTAAATACCAATAAAGAATTGAAGCAAGATTGTAAAATTCACAATGAACAAAGAGTGAAAACAGATAGGTATTAGATTAATTGATAAACGAAAATTTTTAACAAACAGTTTAAGAATAGATAAATTGTAGATTAAAGCTACTTAGAATAAACATAGTGTTGCGTCATCCAGTCACATGACTACTGTGACGCAACGTTTCTAGAACTATCATGTACTTTGGCGAATGTTCTAGTTCTT